CCTCTCCTCTCCTCTCCTCTCCTCTCCTCTCCTCTCCTCTCCTTTCTTCTCCTCTTCTCTTTTTTCCCTTCCCCTTCTCTCTTTTTTTCCCTTCTCCAGTCTTTTTCCCCCACGCCTCTCTCTCCACTCCTCTCTCTCCTTTCTCTCTTTCTTCTCTCTTCAGTCAGTCTCACACTGCCCTTCATCTAGTCTCTGCTTTTTCTGGGTGAGCCGCTTCCTTTTTGTACTTTCCAGCCCTCTGCCCACCCCCAGTCCACTCTCCCACCTGTTTGTGTCTTTTATGGGCCGTGGTCATGTCCATGCCTTCTGTCCGCCTCAATCACTCCAGTGACGGGCTTCTGAGAGCTGTTAAATTACACCTCTTCAGCTGTCCCATCGCAAAGAGAAATGTCCTTGGCTAAATCCTTTCTTTCAAATAGGCAAGTCCATATTAATGTTCCTATTTATAGAATGCACTGAAAGATACATGGATTGTTTTAAAGAGTAAGAAGATACTTTTTTAAAATAAGCGAATCCTCATCTTTTCGTTTGCGTCAATATACGCCACTTAAAATGCAGATTCTCTGAGCTTGCCTGAAACTTATTTTGCGTATTTGTCTGATGGGGAGATGGTTTTTGCGGAAAATATGAGATTGGTGGGTGCTTGCCAGATTGCCCTGCACCTTGTTAGATAGAAGGACTGGAAAGAAGTATTTATGTCCTTGAGAGACATCCTGATTCTTTTGGGGATGAATCTAGGGAAATACATGTAACAGAACACAGCTGTAGTGTGGTGGTCTAGACTGAGTACAGCTGACATTCAAGGCTGGGGTTGGAAACCAGGCAGTCAGCGCTTTAGGGCCAAGGTGGGTTTCAGCTGAGGGGCAGGGAGGGCTTCTGCACATGGATAGGGTTATGCAGGGCTCTCTCAGAGGAGGGAACAGCCTGGGCAAAGGCAGAGAGAGAGAACACACTGAAAAAGTAGCTATTCTAAGGACATAGGCTTATGGTAGGCGGTGTCAAGTTTTTAAGAGTCCCTAGAGGGAAGATATTCATTGGTTATCATTATTTGAAAATAACACTATAGGTTGGTGTGGCTTCTGCAACATAAAATGAATATGAGTTTGGATGTTTGGTCATTATTATATGGATTTACATGGTCTGAAATTAGTTGTTAATGAAAAACCTCATAGAACAAAACATTTCTCTTCAACCACTAAACATTACAATTATTTATCTTAAGATCTTCTTTTAAAAGTGTAGAAATGTCCAATCTTACCTATTTATAGCCTATTATGGGGTTTATCTCTTTCACACAGAATATAATCTAGTCAAGATAGCTTGCAGATTCTAACCTGGATGGAACAAACATTTGTTATGAGTCTATTTATATGATGTGGGAAATCCTTCTGTATATATGTTGCTTTTATTGGTTAATGAATAAAGAAA